AAAAAAAAGCGAAGGAAGTGAGGAATGGAGAGCCCCGAGCCGCCACCCCCTCCCGGCCGCTCCCCCCGGCACGGCACTCCCGAGCGGGCGGGTCCCCCCAGCCCTGCCCTGCCCTGCCCTGCCCCGCCTGGGCTGTGGGCAGGAGGAGCGGGAGGTGCCAGGTGTGGTTTCCTCCTCAAAAGAAAAATAGGGTTGGATGTGCACGGAGAGGAGAGAGAAGCAGAGTTTCCTTCTGGCTGCAGCCGAGGCACCGCGTTTGGAGCCTGAAACGTCTGTGCCTGTCCGGCTCGTTTTTGGGTAGAAGTCATTAGAAAGCCAGCTTTCAGGTGAAGCGCTGCAATGCAAGAAAGGCAACTCCAGTGAACAATTCCTGAGGAGCACAATGATTTTCTTTTTAAAAGCGACGTTTTCTCGAATAGTTACAAAAAAGGATATATAAGCAGAAATTTATTGCTGCTTTTTTTAGGAGCTTGTGGTGGTTGGTACCAAGTCATGACAAGTGTTGCTCCTGAATAAGGAAGGGCACATTGCAAGGAATAAATTACCTGTCTTGGAAGACCTGTCACTCTTTGTTTATGGATGATGCTTTTCTCCTAGCCAGTCACGTTTGATTTGCTATTAGATTTGGAATCATCACAACATATTTGGAGAATAAAATATATTCTGTGTTGCTGTAGTCCTGTGTCCAAGTTGCCCAGATATTTCTGTCTGTGATATGTTCAGAAAATGTGCTTCGTGATTGGGTTCAGTGATTTCACATGACTTTTTTTGGATACTCTTTAGCCATATTTTATCTATATTGCTCCTGTTGGAGAATTCCAGTAATAGAAAATAATGTGTATGTTACAGTCATATGTTCACTATCAAGAATATAAAAACATTGTATAAGAGAAACTGTAAGGAAATATCTTGCGATCTGATTGCATTAAGCAGCCTAACTCCATATATATTATCTGCATAAAACCAGGTTATCCATCAAAACAATGAGTAAGAAGGACATTTTGTCTACAAAACTTATTTTTACATGGCAGAGGGGCTTGTGACAATGATAAATACTTGAAAGAGCATGGGAAAAGATAGGATTTTACAGGATTTTTAAAGAATACATGAAAAAACGGAAGGGAAACTGAGAAAACTAAACCAACGATGACTTTGCTGCCACAAACCAGACTTCCTCTCTTTAAGAAGCACTATGCCTCAGTGTTTCAGTTTTATCCTATTTTATTCCCCTTTGCTCCTCTATGGATAAAGACCATATTTCAATCCAATTCTGTATTTTCCTACTGAAGCCACTGCTGAAGGTCTTCAGCTCAAGCTATTTTGGTTGTAACTACAGGCAGTTCTGACAAGAAAACCATTTTGAACATGTGGCAAGGCCACCATGTGTTGCACCTCTGTTTGAGTCAGAGTTAAGGCAGAGAGTAGCTAAGGTTAAGGGAGCTCTCTCATAGTCTTGCTACGGCCAGGGCAGCCTCCTGCCTGGATGGCTGAATCCTGTAGCAGGTATCTGCAGGTCTGACACTAAGGTGAAGCAAGGTTTGTTTTGTTTTGTTTTGTTTGTTTGTTTGTTTTGTTTTTTTATGAAAAGAGTAGTCCCTTACTACTTCAGTGCTGACCCTCACTATCAAGAAGATGAGTGCCGAGTCCTCATCACCCAGTACTTTAAAAATGATGTGGTTTTCAGCTACAAGGGTGTTCCTTTCTGGAGCAGAAGGAGGAGAAAGGAGAGAGGGAAAAAGAAGACCCTGGCTGCTTTGCTTTTGTTTTTTGTAGAGAGGAAGCACAGCAGTCGATGTAAGTCTGGTAGTCCTTTGCTACTTGTATAGTGAACACCTTGCAGGTGTCTGGTGATACAAGAAACACTATGAAAAGAGATATTCAAATGCTAAAAAGTTCTCAAAAAAACCCCACCAAAACACCACAAAACAACAAAAAAAAACCCCAAAAAACCACTACCAAAAGTCTTAGATCATTTGCTCCCCTCTCTTTCTGAAGACAGGATTTGTTCATATGATATTCCTGGAAGATGGTCACCCAGTCTGGCTTTAAAGTCTCCTTCCACAGTTTTGCTTCTCAAACAGTGGGTTTGAGACAAGCCTACTGGTTCTGGCTGTTGGAAAGGTTTTTCCCAATATCTAACCCAAATTTAAGTTTCTATAGTTTAGACATATTGCTTCTTTTCCTTTTGAATGTGAACATCAAATTTATTTCCTTTTCTCATTACATAAAAAAAAGAAAATTAGATTGCCCAGGTCTTTCCTTGTCTTTAGTCTCTAGGCAATTCCTTCTACCTTTTTCCAGTGGCATATTTTCTAAGTGTCTAATTTGTGTTGTCTCTCTGTGGTGCTCCACAGCTGGTTCAAATGTTGTGGTATCAAGGCTCACACACAATACCTTTCCCACAGATGCTGGTGTGGAGTTTGCCTTATTTGCAGGTGTGATTTTTTTGTTTGCTTGTGCTCAGGATAGAATCCACTGTAATCCCCAGATCCCTTTCTACTTTATTCGTCCCTGAAATCTTTCCTTTAAGCATGTCTGTATGTCACTGAAAAACACTTCTGTTACACCTTAATCTATGATATTCAGCTTTAATGACTTATCTTTTTTTTTTTTAACTCTGCTTTTCTTTGTACCATAGTGCAATACAGTAAGCATTTGAGTAAAAATTTGGTCATCATTAATGAACACAGTAAATGTTTTCACCATACCTCTGTTGGGCCTTTTTAGAAAAAAAAATATGCCTGTTAATCTTGAAAGTGAACCCAAAATTCACTGACTGAATTAAAAGATACTGCTAAAAAGTTTTTGATGAAGAGTAGTACAAAGATTAATAAGTATAGGAGTCAGAAATTAGCCCATCTTTGGTAAGACCTCAGCAGTTCGGGATTTACATGGCTAATTCATTGAGTAACTAGGACTGATGGTTTAGTTCAGAATGTCACATCTAGGATAGAAGACCCAAGGTCATACCAAGGATTCCCACCATACCAACAGAAATGTAGACCTGAAGGCAGCTCTGCAGAAAATAAATAACTGGTCTCTAGGCTGCAGTTTCAGGCCATCCCTGGCTTGGTATGAGCTTAATAAACCCGAGAAACCTCTTAGGTCATCCCTGGGCTAATGGCCATCCTTGGGCTAAGAGGTTTCTCAGATTTATTGTGGTAATTAACCTGGCACATAAGGGTTCTGGTGTGTTCATGCAGGGAATGCAGAGGGAATGCAAGTGCCAGAAGACAGATCTTCTGTATGGTCTCCTCTCCTCCATCAGTCTCAAAAGCTGGAGCTCTGAAGTTCCGTATGTGTGTGCCACTGCACGTGGCCTTTTGTTAATCCTCCACACCATCCTAAAAATGGTGCCAGCCATATCCATGGCACCAAAGATTTCACGCAGCACAGACAGGTAACAGAGGCAGCACCATCTGTCTGACCAGCTGCTGGGAATTAATCTGGATCTGAGAAACAGTCACACATTGTACCTGTTGAAACCATGGTGATAGATGAGGGCTTGGCACTCGTGGCCAGGAGGATGCGTTGAAGAGCGCACCAGTCTGTAAACATCCCCTTTCTGTTGCAGCATTTCCCAGATCCACACCTCTCCATGGGAGAGAGCGGGACATGCCATCTGAGACTGGGAACCCGGTGGACAATCCCCTGGGAACATGAGCAGCAGGGGCCTTGGTAGGTCATGGGACTCTGCTAGGGTTTTGCTGACAGGACATCCCTACCGTCTGCCACATGGGGAAGTGTTATAGAAGGGCTGAACAGTCTGCCCTTCTCCCTGCAGTGATTCCTACGACAGTAATAGCCACCAGGACTGAGGTGATTTCCTGTGCCATCATCTGCTGTTAACTGTACCTGACTCTACTTTCAGAACAGAGTGATGGTGGTGTTGGGATGTTGGGGTCACACGTGCCAAGGGTGTAACCAGCTGTGGTTTTGTAAGTTATGGTGATTTTTTTAAAAAAATAAATTGGAACAATTGGAATAGTTGGTAATCTAGGCAAAGTCATGGGTACACAAATCTTTCTTCAGCTCTGAAAGAGAAGCAGAGAACTTCAAAGTTATGTGCAAGTTAGGAACAGTGCTTGTTAATTTAATTATGCTGAATTTAATTAGAAAAGAGATGAAACGTATTTGAGCCCCTAGAGAAGAGAGGAATTAAGAGGTGTTATCTCCTAAGATAGCTAAGAAAGAGGAATTTATTGCCTGGGGAACACAGAGAGGTTTTTGGAGGGAGCTGGAGGAGAAGGGGTTTTTGTAGGTGCCTATATACATGCTTAAGTATGCCCTAAAACTGCTAAAGAATCCAGGATTTCCAGTGCCTGCCCTGGCTATGAGTGTCAGTTCCAAGGTGCGTATCTTGAAGGCAGTTTAAATAACAGAAGGGTTTATGCACCCAAAAGCTATCCTTTTTCCTTCAGCTCAATATCATGATGAAGGTGTGTTTTGTATGGTTTATTTGCCTTTTCATTTTGTCAAGTACTTTCATGTTCCACTGGGGGAAGAGCAGCCCTTTAGTCTTCTCTACTATATTTAATGAGTCTGGGTAAAAATATTGCGTTATAAATTGTAACCCGAGACACTGTTGTGGTGGATTATTTCCTCTTCAATGACAATGGAAAAATTTTGCCTTTTATTTTGTATAGCAGGGGAGGAATGCACAGAGCAATTCTTTCCCTCCTCCTCCAGGAATCGTGCACCACAATACACTTTCTACATTTATTTTACGAGTTTTATTTTCCTTATTAGTGATGTTATTTAATGTACTACTGTAAAGTAAATGCGTAAATGAAGTCTTAGCAGTGGCTGTGCTATTAAACTAACTAAATCCTTACTTAATGTGAAACTTAGGAAAGCATCTGTATTAGTGATGCTCAATGATGTGCTATTGAGAATTCCATACTCACCTGTAACAGGTTGTCTGGACAAACAGTGTGGCGTTCATGATTCAAAGACACACTCATGAATGTTTATGAATCGATGTTTAATGTTTCCTCATGTTTCTGTACCTCATCTTTATTGGTACTAGTGCAACTGAGCTTTATTTTGAAAAAAAGTTATTTTCTTCTCTGGACATGTGGCTGGAGCTTCTGCCACCTTACAAATTTCCATCTTGCAGTGGTAGTTCTGGTGGTGGCTCTTCTGGTCCATTGGTGAACTATGACTTTTATTCTCTTTTCACACACAGTTCTCTTGATTTTGGGAAGTGCTTAACTTTCTCCCCTTCACAGGCTGCCAGGAGCCCCTTGCAAAGAAACAAACAAGCAAGAATCCACTTTAAAACCCTGGGACCTCACATAGCAAAGTTGAGTGTTTATGTCCTGGTAGAATTCATGCTTCCAAAATACCCGTGGTGGTACCTTTTTGTGCAATAATTCAGTGGCAAACTGAGGCTACGTGATATCTGGATGGAAGAGCTTAGAAAAAAGCAGCCTGTTAGCCTATTTCCAGCTGCACTGACTTCACTGAGAATTAATCGCTCTTGAATAAAGTAGTGCAGTTGATTATTCAACAGAACTCTTCCATCTGTCTGACTCATAGTATTGTGAGCTAGTTGGGAGTTCACTGGTGTTTTTAGAAGTGATAAAGCTGTACATTTTGACCTGCTAATGGATCCTCCAAGAGTTAAAAATCAGAATATTGTCTCTTTTTTTCCCTTATTTTTGTTTGTTTGTTTGTTTGTGTTTTTTTGTGTGGTGTGTTTTTGTTTTGTTTTGTTTTTAAAAAACAATATGTTTGTAAGCATGGTGCCTGTATGCTACCAACAGAAGGTATCTGCCTTGAGTGAAGATTCACGAAACACACCAGATAAAGGAGAGCATTATTTTCAGATCTCCAGCTAGCTGCTGTTCTAGCCCTTTACATTTAATTTAGACATCCTATATAAAAGCTGTGTGGGATGGATGACACAAGGTTAAATTTTAAGCCACCATACAATGAATTATGCTGAACTGCACTTTAAAAACTGTCCTTGTCTGCTGACCTACATAATATCATTAAAGCTTCTAACCCATGTTTTCTTGGCATGCTACTTCCAAAAACATGCTTTAGAACATGAATTGCTTTAGATAATTAAAGAGAAATGTCAATGTCTTTTGGCATACTGCCACAGGGTATAGCTTTAATTACAGGAAATAAGTTTCATTCTCAGAATTGACTTGTTTGTTTGTTTGTTTTTTTATTCTGCCACTGGTTTAACAGTACCATGGCCTAGAGTATTGTCAGCCATCGGAGAATGGTTGACAGAATCAGACAATCAAAAGAAACAGCTCTTGTAGTGGGACATCGAGAGGAGAACTCCTGCTTTGGTTGGGGTTATCACTGTCAGCACCACGGAGCTTTGTGGGTGAGGATAACTCAGTGGGAGTATTGATGGTGGGAGTGACAGCAGGAACGGGGGAATCAGACCCATCAGGTGCAGTGAAGCCTGTACAGTCCTGTGGGTGCTAAGTGACATTTGAGATGAGATTACAACACCTTGATATCAAAGTCTGGGCAGTTGCTGTAGCTTAAAAAAACACAAACATCCCCCCCATTCTCCCCCCACCCCCAGCTTTGTCATTAGGAAATACCACTCGAGAGCAAACAAAGGAATGGTGTCTCATTAGTGGCAGATGTCAGGGAACCACATTTTCTTTGGCTTTGTTGACACATTGCTTTCTTAAAAGTAATCACCTTCAGCTATAATGGATTACTCCACCAGGAGGAAAACTAATCCTCCTCTTCAGCTGCCAATCAGGGCTGAAGAATGTTCCAGGAATTCCACAAGATGACACTCTTAGCAAAATAAGGGTGGTTTGGGAAATTCTTTGCCTTGGTTGCCTTGTGAGGGAGTAATGATTTACAGGGGTTTCACATTGCTCTGGAACTGTTACTGAGATTTCAGCACCTGCATCATAACAGCAACTCTGGTTTTTTCTTCTTTCATTAAGAAATATGCTGTTGACCTACAAACCGAGCAAAGCTGTCGTGGAAGTTATGTATGTATCACTAGGGAGTAATTGTTAACTCTTGCTATGTAATAAATGTCTTTTTGGAACAGGCTTTTCTTCTGTGAAAAGCAAAGTAGGAAATACACCAACTAAAATGCGCTCAAATCTAGAATTCCCAGTATTTCATTTTTAGCTGCTAGAATAGGTAGAAGCCCACTTGGCTGGTTGAATCACCCTGATATCTGCATGAGACCAAAAGGAAACTGTTCTCAACTTGTGTTTTCTAATATTAGTTGGTTATAAAGACAAAAACCTGCAAATGTATAACACTCCTTATTTTTCTTCTACAATAGCTAAGAAACACAGATACCACAATGTGTAGATCCACTCCTATGAAGTAAAATTTAGTGATCCTAACTTGTTACCCTACCTGTAGAACTGAAGTTTTTCTGTCCCTTCTTCCTCAAAGTATAAGCAGGTCCAGGGCAGGATGCCATCATCTTCTCTCACACAGAACCTTGGAAATACTGAATTCATGGGAGGAACTTGCAGAACAGGAACTTGCTACTTTAGCCCACAGTGAAAACTGAAATGTAGAAGTCAAGGGCTGCTTTGGTTACTACAGTTTTGTGTTTGAATGCTCAGGGTAACAATATTTTGATTTGAACAGGCAGGCATAAGTGGGAGATGGCACAGGAGTTTTTAAAACAGTTTTGTCACTGAAGCACCTTCTGAAATGATCACAAGTAGCCTCCAGGCCCCTGAGCTCTTACATTTCTTCTCATACCCATTTCTCACGTCTCTTTCGGTTTGCCACTGGGAAAAAAAATGGGGAGAAGGACAAAGAATGACAAAAATATCCATTATTATACCAGAACCTTCTCAAACCCTCCAAACAAGTTCCTTGTTTATGTGATTTCAATTTTTGTAGAATTTCAGTTTCAAACCTGAGCCATTGAAACTCTGATCTTCCTTGCACCGAGAAATTTACCAGTAGGAAAGATTTTGATGAAAATTAACTTCTTCAGTAGAACATCTCAGAAAAGATGGTATTAGCTATAAATAACTGCTATAAAATGAATTTTTCAGATCATATAAAGAGAACAAAAATCTCTTACAAACTCCGTTCCAATAAAGCCAGTGCCACTGCATGGGATTGAACTAAGGCTGAGTTCAGTGTGGCAGATAAGTCTTGAGAGGATGTTATATAGATCTATACTGTGGGGAAGCAATTTAAGACACTGACAGCTGTTGTGGTAATCTGATGGACCAAAGATGGTTAATTGAAAAATGTGTGGGTTTTTTGGTGTTTCAGAAGACTGTTTTGAACAAACATCTTTGAGCTCAGGTACTGCACTGAAGTGTAGGATAGGAACTGTCTGGTAGGTGTTTGATAACACTTGAAAGTGAATTTAGATGGAAGAGTCTGAATTTATGGCATTTCAGCTCTTTCTGGTGTATTTCAGCTGTGCACAATCTCACTGGACCTTGCTCTTTTAGATTACACATTTTCAGGATGAATTAAGATGTTGTCAAAGGCAGTGAGCTGGAAACTATTTGGGGATAGCTTTTCTACTCTACCTCTAACCAAGCTTTTTTTTAAGTTGTATCTACTTTCAGAGGGTTATGGTCCTGCCTGACACATTTTTAAAACTACTGCAGTTCAAGTGACACATTACACCTTTATTGAAGTCCCTTGCTGAACTGAAGTTTGAAAAATACTCCTTTGCAGTTTACCTTGTGGGACCTCTTCACTCTGCCATTGGCATAAATAAATAAAAATGCTAACCAATTGATATGTGGGTGTTGGTCTGAAACTTTGACAGTTTGTACAGTTGGGCTGAAAAACTCGTGTATGCCAGGGTCTTCCTGGGAGTTCTAGTGCTTCTGAGTAGGCAAACAGTCCTTTGTAAACAGGTTTTATTCTGCTCTTTCCCCATTTCCACTTACAGTCTCTGCAGGAATCAGAACATACAGCACTACGAGAAAAAAAAAAAAAAAGAAAACCAACAAAAAAAGGAGGAAAACAATGGAATAAAGCAATTACAGTCTTTCAAACTGCCAACAGTGCCTGCTTTGAGCTTGTATTTGTTGTGAACTCCAGCTCTGCTTACAATTTTGTGTGTGACACAAATGAGGAAGAGGGGGAGAAACATCAATTGTTTTCTCTGGTGAAGAAGGCAGTAGATTTCAAGGGCAAAACCCTCCAAAATTAAGCAGAGGTTTCTTGGGCATCACATTAGGGATTAGGTCCTAAATTTAAGAGGCAAACAGTGCTGATCAATGGTTATATTTGGCTAGCACTGGTTGAGTGGTTTTCAGTGGTTGCCTCTGCTTTGTGCTTCATGAAACGAAGCTGCAACTTTGCAATTTAAAGGCTGCATTTAAAATAACAACCAGTAAACATGAAGTACTGCAGAAGGAAGGGTTCTTTACAATGCAGTTATGACTCATGGAACATTGTTTAAATTGTCCTAAGACTCTTCTTTAAAAGAAGCTTATCTTTGTGAAGGAAAAACGTTGTTTTCATGTGGAAGGAGTTCATGTGTAGGGATACTGGCTCCTCAGCTGTTGGCAGTCATGCAGAAGAAGTGGGCATGATGTACAGTGTAGCAAGCAATGGGTTTTCTAACTCTTTAGCAATAAAGACCTGTTGTCTTAGAAAAGGCTGTACTAAGGTCCTTTTTGGAAAGGCCTTTCATTGCACAGTGTTGCACACACCTTTTACTCATTAAATGTGCTTTTAAGATTTGACAGTGGCGTGTGCAGTGTTGTGTGGAGGTCAGACTGATGTGTCTTTAGCCTTTGTACTCCAATCTATACCTACACACTTAGATCAAATTCTGTGTTTTGAAAGATCTTCTGCCTCATCACTGAGGCTGATGCTGGCAGCATCCACTGCAGCACTGGGTAGTTAGCACATTTAAAACTCTGGTAAGCCACTTCTAGCTAAGACTTAAACGCAAAAGGACGCATAATCATGGAGGAATCCACATTTTTAAGTCTAATTTGTTCTTAAGTAAAAATGTGGCCTCCCATTCATCTTTTATAGCTCATAAAAAAAAATTTGTTGAGTTAGAACTTATTCAGTTGGGCTGACAGCATGCAGGATGTGTTTCATCTGACAAATTTCTTCTGAACCTAAAACGGAAAATGCTGAATGTCGAAATTTGCAGCTCATTCAGTTTTATCTTTCTAATTCCTGCTAAATATTTCCTCTTAAATAATCAAACTTGCACTTCACTGAAGTTTATGAGGATGTTCTTTCAAAGAAGCAGGTTTTGTCTATATAACATCATCAGAAACATGTGGACCAGACCCTGGCATCCACAAAAAGCCCCTGACTGTTCTGGTCTTCCACCTAAGCATAATAATATAGGGATGTCTATCAGGTGCAAGGCTTTAGATGGCAAATTTAAGGGTGAAACCCCAGAGTAGCTTTTATCAATAGTGATGGTTATTCAGAACTATGTAAAATAGTATCTGTCACACTCCACTGTCTTAATGATTGGGATATATATGAAATGCTATCCAAACACTGTTTGTGATGTCATAGTAAATTAATTTTACTTAAAATTAGAAAATCTTGGGAAATATTTTGCTGTATCACATGAAAAATGGGAGTGCATTTAAATCATAGTTTGTGCATACCTAAAGTTAAGATTGAAGGTTAAAAATTTACACTTAATTTTTCTCCTCATCTTGCAATAGAATCTTTTAGTGCAGTTTCAAAAATGTATTTGTTTTTACATTCGTTCAGTGGCTGGAACATTTTGTGTGGCAGAAGAGCTTAGCATTTGAACCAGATTAGGTCTGAGAACTGATGATGGCAAACCAGCCAAGCGAAGCTCGTGAGGACTGATAATCAGATCTTCTGCTTTGTTATGATTGCCTCTCACAGCCAGGTCAGTTTCTTGATCTGTTTCTCTGTGTAACCATATAGGCACCAGAGCTGGCACAACAAATGGCCCAGAGCAAGGAAGGAGCACTGGGATGGGCCACTGATGACAGCCCAGCCCAGGAGCCTGCCTGGTGATGAATGGTTGCAGATGGGAATCTAAATATTTGGAAGGCTGATATGAAGTCAGAGGAGAAAGAAATGTGGCCTTCATCATCTACCATAAACAAATGAGCTGTTCCTGTTGTCCTTAAAATACTGTGACTGTTTTTCAGTGTAGACCAACCAATCATGTGGATTTTGTCCAGAAATGGCAAAAGAGCTGTATAAAATTCTGCTCTTTTAAATATCAAGGCTCCATAAGCAAACCATTGCTTTTCACTAGGGATTCATTCTCTGGTAAATCAATAATTGCTAAAAACACCAATATCTCCTAATCTGACTTCACCTGTAGTATAATTCAGCATTGAATAATTCCTTTTCTGAGATTTATGAATTATGCATTAATATCAGCTTATGCACTTCAAAGATCACCCAAAAGTTAATGTACTATTCTGCTACTATATTCTACTTGCTCATCTCAGCATATTTTTTTTTGTGAGCCAAGAGAAGCAGGGAATGCATGTGATAATCAACTCTGACCCCGGGAGCCAGAATGTAGGTAGAGCATAGTGAGGAGAATCACCCTGTAGAAAAGCTATAGAAAATCACAGTTGTGATTTACCCTTTTAAGAAATGAAATCAGGTACGATCTATTTATTTACCATCCACAGAAAGGGTAGTGTAGTCTGTGTAAAAGCTGTGCTACCTCCCCTATACTTTTTTAGAGCCTCACTCTCTCTACAGTTGAGAGGCAAAACTTGTCCATGCCTCACTTCTGACCCTATCAGCTGGGATGACAAAAGCAGTGCCTTTGAAAATGCAAACAAACAAATAAGCAAGCACTATTTGATCTTGGTTTCCCAGATTTATTTTACCCCTTTGCAACACTTTGTGAAACTTATCTCAAATCTGGTTAAAATCAGTGCAGCGACACTATTTAATTCTTCCATTTCCTCAGAAAACCAAGTTAAAATCATGCTGTCATCTTCTTTAAGCCACAGGATCGAGGAATGCTTTGTAGGTACAGTATTAGTTTTGCACATTTTGGCCTCTGACAAGGAAGACTAATTAGTGGATCCATTGCTTGAGCAGAATTTTATTTATCCTTCTTGCATTCACTTGCCCTGAGCTGCAACAGCCTAACTCCATGTTGCTCAACAATATGCCTTGAGAATTGTTCTTCACAAGCTGTCCTATTGCAGAAGGCTCCTTGTGTCTTCTTGACAGCTAAGGCTGCACTGGTGGCTGCTTGTCCAAATAATGAAATGGGCCAAAATAGCCCCATCTTGCCTGAGTTGTAGACTGTTATTTTTCCCATGACCATCTCTTCACAATGTGAGCTGAAAATAATCCAGTTAATGGATGGAAAGTTTTGTGGGCAGACTTCAGAAGCAAGATGATTCGTTGTTATGAAGTAAATATGGATGATATGGTTAAAAAATTAAGAAAACAGAGAGATAAGACAGGGTGATATTTAGATTTCTTCCAAGCTGTCTGTTTGTTAAAACTCATACCCTTGTCACTGAAAATCCATACTGGGACTAATTTGGTTTTTAAGCAAATCCTCAGTAATAAATCTCTCAAGT